ATTCCTCTTCCCCTAGCATCTCCCCCCCTCTTTCTAGATCAGACTGAGGAATCTTCCTCAGCAGTATCTAAGGCTTGGTATTTCTGGCAAAGGACCAAAAGATGGACAGTATCAATCTTTTCCTGGACAAACTTTAGTAGCCTATTTATTATGCAGGGACCAATTGTGACTAATAGCAATAGGATAATTAAGGGTCCTGCGACAGCTGAGAGGAGAGTTGTAAACCATGGTTTATGTGTGAACCAGGACTCGAACCAGATTTCATTATTTTCATACTCCTTGCACCTCCGCTCCAGGTCCTTTTTTAACTTGGTCAAGGATTCCCTGACTGCCCGTCTTGTCCACATAGAAACAACATTCTTCTTTTAAAGCTGCGCATAGCCTGCCCTCCCTTAAAAATAGGAGATCCAAGCCCCTTCTATTTTGTAGCACCACCTCTGATAAGGAAGTGAGAGATTGTTCCAGGTCTGACGTCGTTTGCCGGAGCTGTTCCAAGTCCCTGTCAATTGCTAGCCTTAGTGATGTGAGCCCTTGCTCTCCTGTTACTAGGGCTGTGATTCCTGTCCCTGCACTAGCTATCCCCACGGAGAAGAGGGTTCCGATGGTTAAGGCAGTAATGGGTTCCCTCTTCTTTCGAAGTGGACTCTGTTTTTCCTCCCAATAGGAGAGGAGGGATTCATGAGATTGGTATGAAAGGCAGGGCAAAATGGCCACAAGTACACAAAATTTATTATTAGCATTAAATACAGAGGTGGATAGGGCTGGAGTGAGGCCCGTTTTTGAACAGAGCCACCAGCCCGAGGTGGGTATAATCCACTTCCCCTTCTCCCACAGGGTGTTATTACATGAGGAGCATAACTGGTTTGGGATGTTGGAACTGTGCCTACACACATGCCAGAGGCCAAAACCTGGGCAAGAGTAAGTCCTCATGGTCTCCCGTCCCAATAGGTGGGATGAGAGTTGTTGAGAGTATAGGAACTATTTATCCCAATAGCCTCATAAAAGGGTGGGGATCCTGGTTAGCACAGCCAACAGGGGTCAGTAAGAAAGGGAGTGGTATGATTAAGGGTTTCTACTGCAGCTTGCATTCTGCAGCTGTCCCCGGCCTTTCCGTGCCTGGGGCTGCTGATGTCGTTGTGGTGCCTGATGGCTTGAAGGTGGGCTTAGGAGACCCAGGCGGGGGAGGTTGGGGCCTCAGACAGGGGGTATTTAACACCGGGTTAGGTCCTACCGGTGACCTAACCACTGCCTCGACCTGGAGGTAGATCTGAAACAGGACCCCCCTCCATGGTGTCTGGTAGGGCATCAGGCCCCATGTCAGCCCATCTATCCACCTTTTATCATTTTTTCCCTTCTCAAAGGGAAAATCTCAGTAAAGGTGATTTTAACCTGGTTGGCCAGTGGAGATACTGTCCATTAGTTGTATGGAGAAGTAAACCTCATATCCATCAGGTCAGGGGAAACCTCCCATCTCCACTGCCCATCATTAACTTCCACACAATTCCATTCAGCGCAGTAGAGTCTATCAGCACCCCCACAATTGCGCCTCCACCAACCTGTCCGGAAACCTGGGCAAGCAAAGAACCCGTTTGCCCGCAAAGCTTGGCGGTTGACTGTGGATGATGAGTCAACCAAAGCCTGTTTTTTCACATGATATTGTTCCTGGTGGTTTCTCTGGGGGAGGTAACAAAATTGCCCCAGTACAAGTTCTAAGTCAACATACAGATCTGGCCACCATGTCCACAACGGGGCCATATGGGAGGTGCGGTTCCATTCCTCATAGGCGTGGCCGCTTTGCAGGATCCATGTCTGGCATACTGGTTGGTGGGGGTTGATGTTCCGAGCTCCCGCTGACACTACTGTTCTCTGGAGGGCCCATAACAGTGAGCTTATCAGCAGGAATCCTTTCATGTCTGGCTCAGCTGTAGCTTTAAGGGATTAGCAGAATTTGGCCACACCTCCCACTCCTTCACACAGGATTCTGGGTCCTCGAGAGGCAAGGCCTTCCTAACATGGGTGTGGTGGACCCAGGGAGTGATGCCGTCAACCTTTAGGGCAGTGGGGGTGGTAGACAATACAACATAAGGTCCCTTCCATCTGGGTTCAAGAGTTTTTACTTTGTGTCTTTTTACCCAGACCATATCCCCTGGGGCTATGCTACCTGGATGATTTCAGAGAGAACGTCTCTACAGTCATGGATGGGGGTTGACAGGTCTGGGTCTGGCAGGAGGGTGGCAGGATTCGAGGAGAGTCCAGCAGGAGCCCTTGGTAGTGGGTGAGCCTGGCATTTGTCATCCATTTCCCTGGAGGGTGCCTGAGAATCCCCTCCACAGTATGCTGTGCTGTCACCCTCAGGTCCTGGCCAAAGGTCAGCTTGTCAGCTTCCTTTACCAGTAGGGCGATGGCTGCCAAGATGCACAGGCAAGACGGCCATCCCGAGGCCACTGGGTCCAGCCGCTTGGACAAGTAGGCCACAGATCTCTTCCACGGGCCTAGTTGCTGGGCCAGGACTCCTTTGGCCAATCCCTTCTTTTCATCTATAAACAAAATGAAGGGCTTTTCTGGGTCTGGCAGAGACAAGGCGGGGGCCTGGAGAAGAGCTTCCTTTAATCTGTCAAAGGCTTCATGTTGTTCCTGACTTCACCTCCAAT